TGTGTGGATTAACCAACAGATTTCCCCCGTGTGATAACGTCCATAGCAAGCCTAAGAGGACTAGAGCCCATGTCACCGAAGATCAAATGCCACAGAATTTGAGTCTGAGCAAGATGCAGAATTCAGCATCCTGACAATCTCAGCTTCAATTGCTACTTTAAAAACAAAGATTCTACTCCACAATTCAAGAGAGTGACTTGAAACCACCATGCCTGGGTAAATCTCTGAAGAAAAGTTTACATAAAATTTCCTGTGGCGAGGAATGTCATTTGAATGCCCTTTAAAAGCACCTTACACCTTACCTCCCAGGACAACAGGAGCAGAATTAGTATATAGACTCAACTATGGGCCTCAGCAGACGGAGGCCCCGGAGCCGCCGCCGAACGGAGCGCCGCGGGGCTGCAGCCTCCGCATCCAGGCGCACCGCCGGCGACCCTAAAAGGAGCACCAAATTGGCGCTCCTTTTAGATGTCAGAGAAAGTGCGCCGCAAAAGCGGCGGGCGCACTTTCTCTGACTCAAACGGCGCAGCGCATGTGGGCGCTGCGCCGTGAGGTCATCCCCAATGCGCCGGTCGTGTGGATGGCCGGCGCATCTGGGGGCGACCTCGGAGAGAGGAAGGGGCGCCGTTCGTGCGGCTGCCCCTCCTCTTCTCTGCCCAGAAGACGACTTTATTAGTCGTCTGCTTAGGGCCTAAGTCGACCTCATATGTAAGTCAAGAGCAGGTTTTGAGGCCAAAATTATGGATTTTGATATGACCCTTGGATAAGTTGAGGGTAAAACATAGGGGCATATAACAATGGATGTAAAGGACAAAGCAAAGGAACATGAAGCCAAAGAACTTACAAAATTCCCATAGGCGTAACTGTGCTCACCCTAAAGGCTGGATGGATGAGGAGGGAACTATGGTAAATTGTGGCTGTGTGATGTTGGGGGTGGAGGCAACCAGGCATATGCAGGGCTAAGAAAACACACACATGTCAAATTGGATTAAAAACAAAGAAAATGGTGACTACATTAGCAGTGGCTATAGCCTTTAATGTGATAAGTTTGCCTGATTTCAACCCAGAAGAGCTGACTGACGTTCACAAATGTCTTAATCAAATCCTTCAAAGCTTTATTCCTCCTTTGAGGGGATGCTCTAAAGAGCTGCAACTGTCATCATTTTCCTGTCCAGACATTCAAAAAGGCAAGAAATGGTGCTAAGGTGGAGAGAGTAGAGGAGATCAATGCTTCTTTTAGGTGCTCCTGGGACAGATTAAGCTCTTGCCTTTCACTGCCCTTGGAGGGATGGTTCTTTTTTGAATGAGAGTTAGAGTACAGTGCTTACATTGACCTGTGAGTAAGGGCCTTTGCAGGCTGCCAGAAATAGTGCAAATGAGTCCACTTTAAGGGTTAGGGTTAGTGCTAGGGGATTCTGAGACATTGAGCCTTCTCTGTCAGAGAGCTCTGGTGCCACAATAAAATACAGTTCCCATGATTCCCTAACCCTAACCCTTAAAGTGGACTCAATTTGCACTATTTCCAGCAGTCTGCAAAGCCCCTAAGTTGACACAGATTTTTTGGGGTCCATTTTTGCCTAAAATTTCTAGACTTACATGAGTACAGTGGGCCCTTCACATTTTTTAGGGTTAGGGTCACAGGACCACCATGAAAGTTGGATTTTTTATTTTTTTTTACCTGAGAGAACACCTCTCTACGAATACCTAGGTCCTCTATGGTCAACATGGGCCAGACATTGCTGGAGGACCTACAAACGCCTAGAGAAGAAATCTCTAGGAAGTGCTCCCATGCAACTTTTGGCAGAAGTTGACCATAGAGCCGCACTGGAGGACCTAGGTATCTGTAGAGAGAACATATTCTTCAAATCCGTGAATAATCAAATTGGCAAAAGTCAAATCTGCAAATGTGGAGAGGTAACTGTATATGCAGTATTCTTAATGTGCCATTTTTACTGGTTGCAGAATTGTTTTCTGCAATCTATAAACACTGGCAGTGTTTTTTCATGGCAGAATTTAGGCTCCTTTGGTGGAGGAACATTATTATCCCACCTGCTCTTTTGTGATGTTGGTTGTGGGAAATATTGAAGACACACAAGCCTAATCCATTTTACAGACGAAGAACTGAGGCTGGAGTTTATTATGGGCACCAAGTCCATGGTGGAGCAGAACTTCAAAATCCTTTATCCCAAGCCCATTTCCAGTACACTGGCGTTCACTGAACTACCAGGCCTGCCGGCTTGCGTCATCAGCTTTGTACATCTTGAGCATGGAGGAGACTCACACCACTCCAGATCTGAACACTGTTTTAACACCAGACCTCTGGCATCTTGCCTAGTAGAAATGGGAGATCTGGGAATTATCTGTTCTTCTTCCTCTAAATTCCTAATTGCTCTGACTGTCTGCCATTGATTTCAAAGATCCCTGGACACAAGAGTCTCCTTTTTGGGTGGAGAGCTGCAGCTGGGACATTT